CGGCCTCGTAGCCTGGGGCGAGGGAGGAGTTTGCAGCCTCCATAATCACTTCCAGCTTCAAGAAACCTCCATTTACTTCCCCGTGTCAAAGATCTTTTTGTCTCCTGACCCCCAAAACCCTCCAGTTAAATCGTTCCACACAGTGCAGCCAGGCTTGTTCCACCCTCCTCTCAACGCTGCGTAACTTCTTTACACCCAGAGATCCCCAAAACTCCACCGAGACCAGGCCAGACCCACTCGAGATGCTCTCAATTCCCCAGAAGACATTTCCATGTCAACTCAAGCCACACTTTTGTCACCTTTCCTGCTCCCAGCCACCAAACCTTGGTGGAAAAGCCCACCTGCAGGGACAGGCCTGTCCCCACAAGCAGAGTTCTCCCGTTAAATCCTCCTGCTCATCCCATTCTTTATCCGTTGTCCTCCGAGGTTTTCCAACTCTCACCTGCCAACGTCCCACCTTCTCCTTCCACCAGACACCACATCAGATTTTGCTGCTTCCCTTCAGCCTTCGGAGTCATTGCCATAAATGAAATTTCCTGCTTATTCCTTCTTAATCTGTGCCTTCCACCCTTATTCCTGCATTTTTCCAGCTCTCCCAAGTCCAAGTGGAACCTATTTCCCCAATTCTCTTGAAAACAAATTGCAGGAGAACAGGCCCATCGAGGTGATTCCTAAGCCAGAGAAGTCCCGTCTGCTCCCAGCATGGTACTAGATCATTTAATACATGGAGAATTGGCTTTATTCCGGGATTTTTTCCGGAAGGACACAGGAATCAGTACTTCAGAGCAGGAACGTGGCCATGGCTGCTACAATTTGCTTTGCAACTCACCTTTTTAGGGAGATTCCCTTTCTTTTGGCCACCTTAGAGCCAGTTTGGACCCTGCCCTTCTCCACGGCGACTGCTCCCAGCGGAGAATTCCTGCTTCTGGAAAGTCCCCTCAGCTCCGGGGCAATTAATCCAGTTTCTGGGATTTTGCTGTTCCTTGGAAGGTGTAACTCACGGTGAATTCTCACCCGATAACGTCTCGTCTCTTCAGAACAAAGGGCTTCTCACCCTCAGCTCCTCTCCAGCCCCCTGGGACCTCATGATTCCTTCCTCCATGTGTTTCTGCTTCCCAGTTCGTGCAGCTCCCTCTCCGCTCTCCTCCAGCGGTTTTCCACAGCAGTTTTTAATCCTCGAACATCCCCGTTCACACTTGTTCTCCCAGATCCCCCAAATTCTCTAAAATCTGCTGCTCTTAGAGCTACATCCCTCTCCTCCTCTCTCATTTCTTCTTGCAAGCCTCAGATGGCAGTGGGGTGGGGAAAGGTGGCACAGGGACACCTCTCCGATCGCAGCGTGTCCCCGTCAGAGCTTCCCAGTCCCAGTGATCCCACAGTTTGGGTGTCCTGGGTCCCCTCAACCGCTCGAGATCCCTCTTCCAGTTTGGATTTTTCAGTTCTCCAACTGGGCTGCGACCGTTCCCCTTCCGTCCCCGCTCCTCGCTGCCCCGTTCCAAACCCTGCCTCCTCCTCTTCCTCCTCCTCCCAAAGGTTTTATCACCATCCACACATCGAATCTCCGAAGAAATCCACAGAAAGACACATTATTCCCAGCTTGAGGTGGGATTTAGGAAGGATCCCAGCCCTGGCTTCCCTGCAGGGACTCTCCAGCGATGCAACACCCTTTCCCAGACAACACCAGTCGCACCCTCAGCCTCCAACCAGCGGGTACGTCCTCGTTAACGACTCCAGCACCTCGTTAATGAGTTGGTTGATGTTGGTAATGATGTTTTTCCCTCCCCTTCCCATCCCAAAAGAGGGGGATCCGCTCACCCGGATGCTCCACTCACCTGATTGAATTCCTCGTCGGCGTAAATATCGATCAGATCCACTCCCTCGGACATATTTCCAGAGACGGGAGCAGGAGCCCGGGCTGGGACCGGGGCGAAGCGGGAAGACGGAAGGTGCACTGTGGGGGGGGGGT